TGTTAATTCCATTAAACCATTAAAAATGGTATGAATTCCTTCCTAGAGCGTCCTGACTCTAGTCCATAGAAGAAGCACTGATTGTGTCTTGGGTGCATCTACACTGCAAAAATAATGCAGTTTGACATCATTTTAACTGCCATGGCTTCAACCTACTGAATCTTGGGATTTGTAGTTCTGAGACACCAACACATTTGGCAGAGATTACTGAAGGCCTTGTAAAACTACAAATCCAAAACACCCTATTCTTATCATTTGAGTTCCTGCCTCTGCCAAAGAGGGAACCAGATGCACATGCTTTTTCATGCCTCTCTCCATCAAATCAAATCCCAGCAACAGAATTCCTGGAAAGTTATTTTTTAGCCCTGACCTATCCTTCTGCAAGTCCTTTCCATTCAAAGTTTCCATCACTTTTAACTTGTTTCCTCTTTTATGTCCTCCACTGTAACCACTTCCTACTGTGGCGACATTTAATCTGCTATGGCCTGAAAAGAAAAGTCAAGAAAAGACTATGACACTTAAGAGATGAAGAAATTCATAATAAATTATTATTCTAAAATTATTAATACATTAATTAGTCCTTAAAGGCTATTTTTTGTTGTGTCTTTGTAACGATTTTTCTCCTATTTTTGGAACCAGCTTTTGTTCTAAAGTCTAGCCGCTTCAGTGCAGCCTTACTAGTGAACCTGTGGAAAGTACTGTGTTCAGATACAAATTAGTGGCGCTTCCACTGTTTCAAACCTCCCATGCATTCATTATGATGGTAGCAAGACAGGAAATGGCAAACTCAGGAAAAGATGCAAAAGATCTTTGTACTAGCTATGTTAACAGTTACAGAACACTGTGTTGCTAAAGAAAATGACTAAATAACTATATGTTGCTACTGGAATATCAGAAGCAGAAAGCTTTTTTATTTGTATAGTGAAAATGCTCACAGAAATCGGGCTTTGTTGAGACAAGCATTCCACAGACCACTGTGGAAAGACCTCTTAAGTTAAAAAATATAGAACTCAATTTGTGGTGCAAAATACACTGCAGAACTAATCCAGTTTGAGACCACTTTAAACTGCCCTGGTTTAATGCTAAGGAATTCTGGAAACTGTATTTTTGTGAGACATTTAGCCTTTTCTGTCAAGAGAGCTTAGTTGCCACAATAAACTACAATTTCCAGGATTCCCTAGCATCCCCTAGCGGTCTCAAACTGGATTATTTCTGCAATGTGTTTTGGACCTTCTCTTATTGTTACCGTCTTATTATTATTCCTTGAATCACTATATTTAAAAGCACAACTATAATGTTTGTTTCACTGCATTGTTTCTTCAAAGCTAAAGAAGTGTAGGTAGCCTTCCAAAGCTACTTACTTCAAATTGCTGGTGTGTTGTCCCTCACAAGGCAAAGAAAAGTTAGGGAGAATGGGATGGGTGGGACTAAAACTACCTTTCCTCTTGCACCATTGCCCTGATGTGATACAGACTGCTACAAAAGACTGTATCAATTATGAACATATTAACATCTGGTTTGGCTGTCAAAATGTAGAGAAAAAAATTGTATGAATTCCTAGAACTTCCTATATCTCGTCCACAGAAGCAGTTGTGTCCTTGGGTGCATCTACACCCAATGGTTTAATTGTGTCCTTGGGTGCATCTACACCCAATGGTTTAGTTGTGTCCTTGGGTGCATCTACACCCAAAGGTTTAATGCAGTTTAATACCACTTTAACTGCCATGGCTCCATCCATGGGATTTGTAGTTCTGTGAGGCACCAGCATATTTTGGCAGAGAAGGCTGAAGGCCTTGTAAAACTACAAATCCCATGACTCCATAGGATGGAGCCGCAGCACTTAAAGTTGGTGTCAAACTACATTATTTCTACAGGATAGATGCACCTCTTGTGTTCTTTGGTTTCGCCCTACAATCTTTACTAGTTTTTTTATGCAAAATTAAGGATATCACCATGCTCTATGATGGATATAAATTTTGGATATCAGCATAATCAAAATTATGGATACCACCATCACTACCACTTTTACAGGATTTATCATTCTGGTTTCCTATTTACAACTGAATATGTGCTCAGACTTGCAGCATAAGCAATTGCACTTAGCTAAGCAAAAAGCAAAACAAAACAAAACTAAGCTTAACAGCCCAGTTCTATGCACGTATACTAAGAAGTCCTACTGAGTTCAATGCTGCCGACTCTGAGTTACACACTACTATATCAAATTAGAAGGCATAAAACCAAGAATATGTTGGCAAATATATTTCTGCTGACTACTTGAAACTGCAAATATTGGGGGGTGGGGGTGGAGGGGGGCACCATATCTGATGGCCAGTATTTTTCTTTCTAGGTTCCCTAATCTAAGGTGTACTACTTGTCCTAAATTCCAGTGTTGCATAATATTATACTACAATAAATAAATAAATAAATAAATAAATAAATAAATAAAATTATAACAACTATATTTAACCTTCTCTAAAGTTTATTTTCATAAACATTTTTACTTCCAATAGTTGCATCATAGATTGCCAAGAAAAAAGAGCTCACAATCTTCTGGGCACCACAATTCAAAAAGGATGTTGAAAAACTGGAG